CTGCGGCGGGGCTGTGCGCGCCTCTCGGGGCCGGCGCGGCGCGGCGCGGGCGCGGCGCAGGACGGGAAGGGCCGGGCGCAAAGCCTTCGCGGGCGGCCTACCTCGCGGGGCTGTTGCGCGAAGGCGCCGGGCTGGGCCGCTCGGGGGAGGAGGCGGGGCGCCGCGCCACGAAGCCCCATGCCGGCGGCGGCGGCTTCGGAGCCCTCCTCCTGGCTGCGGCGGACCCAGAACGTCCCGACCCGCTCCGCCCACGCCCGAGTGGGCCCGCGCACGCAGGTCAGCCCGGAGTCGCTCACCTCGCAAAGCCGGATCAACACGTTCACATCTGCACGGGGCCTGCTAGAAGGGAGCGTGCACCCCATTTGCCTTGCATGGGTCGTCCCAGAAGCACGAAGCCGGTAAAACCTTCCACGTAGGAAATCGACAGTGAAAGACCAAACGGGGTCATCGCACAGCATACAGCATCTGACCGATTTCGGGGGGGGGGGATCTCTCCCACCCCCCTCCTCCGCCCAGGGCGACAGGATGTATTTGCAAGTCCTAATTGCACGGACTCTGGGGGATTTTCAAACTCTTTGCAGCAATGCAATGACTGGAAACCCTCCACTCAAATCCATCAACTCATTAGGCTTTTCCCAATGGTGTTCTCCAGAAGCTTGGCACTACAACTCCCAGTATTCCTGACTAGGGCTGATGGGAAGTGAAGTCCAGCCTTCAAATGCAGTGGGAATATGAGAAATGTCCATTAGATGCAAGAGTTCTTTCCAGCAATATGATCAGAACCTAAGGTAGAGATACGCAGAGAAGTATACTGTAAACATTTATTTGTACATAGAGTGAAGGGAACTAAGATCACTGACCGGATGATGGTAACCAGATCTCTCTGCTTAGACAGGACATGGAGATTACCACCAGTTACAATCTTTGTTCAAATGTAAAACAAAAATGCTCATTTAAATCAGATATTTGCACTGCAAATTATTCAGCTAAGCACTGATATTATGTACTTTTAAACACCAACCAAAGAAACCTGGGAGATTAATATTTCTGCCAAGAGGTTAATGATTTACAGTTTGGGCCTGTAATTGACTTTGAATTGGGTTAACATTCTCCCCCTGTTTAATAATGTACAATCTGATTTACAGAGTTTAGAATATATCTAGCGGAAGAAATAAAGTTTTAGGGTAGGGGCCAATATTGCCGTTTTAAAAATTACTGAACAGAAAGGGTTAGATTCAGACTAAGTTAGTCAGGCTTTAGTCACCCCTCCTTTCAGTGTTTTAATTGAAACACAAACTAATTTGTGTTACTTAAATTAACACTAACAATTCAAAAACTTTCACCCATTGGTTTAAATGGGATTAAAGGAAGACTAGCACGGTCTGGATCCAAGCCATTATAACTACCCAAATATACCCATTTTGAGCAAATGGATATTGCCTGTAGAAATCAAGTATCAGTCATTTTTGGGGTGCTATATGGGGAAAACACACATGCATATTCAGCGACATTAAAAGTGCAACCTTTTGGCAACAAAGGTCATCATTAAGCATGCTCAAGTCTCATTCAAAATACAGCTGGAGCAGCTTTGCAGCCCTCAGTGGTCACACATTCCAGCAGGTGCCTTTGCTCCACATTTGTAAGGCAGAACTTGAAGCGTTAAGGACTGGGGACTGAAATGGTGACCGCATCCCTTGTCTCTGGGAGGAAAGCTCCTGGAACTTAAATGACGGTGGCCTCAAATATGTGATGTAGGATTGCGGCTCTATTAAATCTCCTCGCACAGTAGAAATGATCTTCTTTCACTGCCGTTTGAATATGCTTAAAATAAATTCTATTTCGAGAAAAGTAGCGACATTATTTGATTAATAACTACGGCATCCAAATTTATAAAAAGGGTAGTTATAAAATGTTACACCCCTATGTTCCCAAAAAATACAGCACCTGAAAAGCTACGTTCCCCTTCCCAGCAGTTTTTGAACACAATTTCCCGTCTAAATTTCTCTCAATAGTTCAGATTTTCTGTCTACCTGCTGCTTCAACCCTTTACCCCAACCTCATTTTATGTCACTAAAGAAAGAATATCTGCATTTTCCCTGCCGAAGTATAATTGGCACAATAGTGTGTCATGCAAAGTATGTATTTACATTTGTTTTAAACGATACCTTTGACTACAACGTAATGGCTCTCACATAAGGGGAGAAAAAGCCCATCCATCAGTCTGGGAGGAATTGAAGGCGTTCCAGCTTTAGAGCTGGAGGAAAGTATTTTGCCTTGCGTACAAAAATAACTACAGAATACTATTTGCTGCACAAGCTCAGCTGGACTTATGCTAATAAACCTCTGCCATTTAAAAATGTTTTACAATGTTAGAAGCTTTCTGAGTCCAGTGTTGATTTCAGTTGTTCGGTACATACAGCTTAGCGTGCATGCTTTTAGATATTCATAAAGTTTCAAGACAATGCCCAATTCTGCTGTAAGAACTAATTTTACCATAAGAAGCACAGTTGACACCTTGGGACTAAGAAACAGTAGTAAGAACTGAGATGCTCACAGTGGAGAAAGCAATGCAAAACAGGGGACACCATCCAGCCAACCCATTTTTTTATAAACTTACTGGACTTCAGGGAGTGAGAGAAGCAGGGATTTGAGTCTCTCTCGCTGAAATCTATGACAATTGAATGGGCCGAATTTTGGCTAGATCATACCCAGGGCAGGGATTGGTCCAACAGAGAACAAAAGCTTTGCACAGGACGATTTGAAAGTCAAAGCCTGGCCCCCGTCACCACTTTTCGTAATTATTTGTAAGTAGGTGCTTGTTTCACAAAAGACTCAGTAGCGCCCTTAAAAAGGGCATATACTTCACTGCCAACTGGTGGAATGTGCAAGACAGTCAGGTAGACCAGAGAAATATGGATGCAGAAGATTTTGCATGTATTCAAAATGTTAACCATCTGTGTGAACCCTGGCAGAAATATCGGCAGACTTTTGGAACCCAAAAGAAGACTTATAATCATAACAAAATAATTAGATCCAGAGGCAATCAAAACATATTTTGGCAATGCAGATGATAAATTGTCCATGAAGTTCTGTCACAAGCTTTGAAGAATACTCTTTTGCTTCGTCTCTTTTTAAAAGTCACGCAACATATGCAGCCAGTGTCAGTTTAAAGAAGCTTCTGGAGTTATCTCCAATTATTCTTTGTGGGGTTTTCGTTTTGGCTTCTCTTCATACGATTCTCCATATTCATTTACTCTGCTCTTATCCACAGGATAAAGCCTTACAAATAAAAAGAAAGAGTTGCATTTCGTTTGTATATTTCCTTTAAGAAAAACACCAGCCATCTCCAGATGTTCTTATTTTGATTATCTATCATCCATATATGTATTAAATAATACGACTGATAAATGACGTCAATACCAAGATATGCATGCATCTGCTTGCAATGCCAACCCCAGCCGTCCTACAAATGTTGTCATAATGGGAATTATTTTTACTAGCTGCAAGAAAGCAGTGGAAAGAACTGCTAGGACTACGGGCAGATCTGATTATAAATTGCTTTCCTAAAATCAGCCATGGCCCCCCACCCCAAGAAATAAGGGGGTGACACTTCCCCTACTACTGCCCCAGAGAAATAGTCCCTCCCAGGAAAGAAGGAAAAAGGAAAGAAGGTCATTCCTTCCTTCCGACACAAAATGCCCTTTTAACCAGGATCTGAAGTTTGTCTTCTTTGCCCACACATTATACAATTGTAAGAACTGCCCTGGAAGAATCCAAAGGGAAACAGGAGGAGGAAGAGGAGAGAGTCGTACCATCTTTGGTAAAGATAAACCAGGAACACTACATCATCCCTAAAACATGCCAGCCGATGAGATGTTGGCATCGTGATGATAAATGCAAAAATATCATCGATGAACGTGTTGAACGCCTGCAAGAGATGGAAAGGAGAATGTAGACTATATAGCCATGTATCTGTTACCTTGAACTGCCCAAACACAAACTTTTCAAGCAAATAAGCCATTTTTACAGCAAAGCAAGGCTGTGGTTGGATAGGTCAGTCTTCCCGCCACCAAACGGGCCACCTCGTCATGCAGAAGCCAAAAGTTGGCATGTGCCCACGAATCCAGAACAAGCCAGAATCCAGGTGCAGACACGGATCAGAGTGCAGTCCAGACAAGATGACTGGGGACTGGTCATGAAGAGAGCTCTCGATAGGCAGAAATTATGGGGAGAAACTTGTTGAACAGAGAACGCAGCATAATCCAGCAGCTGCTGCAGACGCCCATTCTCCATGTAGGCCAGGATCTAAACTTGCCGGCCTTCCCAGCATATGATTAACCAAGCTGAAGGCCGTCCCAGAGCCACAAACTGTAGCCTGATTAATACTTGGTAGGCAGCAAAAACCTGGTGGCTCGCCATACCCAGCAGACGGCCTGTGTTCGCAAGAGTCATTGCGACGTGGCCGACAGGTCCCTGGGTCTGTGCCCAAGCACTTTCTGCTTTCTTCCGCCAAATGTGTTTTCTCATGAGGCATTCAAGCTACTCCTGAAGACTCCCACCAGCATTTGGGAAGAGCCATTCTGATGCGAGGAGGAATACAGTTCCATGGACGCCTCTGAACCAGAATGCTTTGCAACTGTTATTGCTTCTCTATGGATCCTATCCTATCAATGGATAACTTTTCTATTTGTTTTTTTGTGATCTGAGCGCAGTCAACAAAATGCCACCCAGTGCTGTCCGATTCTCAAGCAAAGGGTAAGAATGGATTGGTTTGAACTACAACTCTTAAAAGTGTGAAATTAACTTACTTTATATGTGAATGCCTTCCATGGCAAATGTGCAACAGATTTCATCTAGAAAAGCCAAAGCCAAACATTAATAGATGGATTAAATTTAGTAAAAGAATTTTGACAAGACAAAAATTAAAATATCCTCTCAATCACTGAGTTACCTTATAATTTACGAAGAGTTGTGGCAACATAAACAGAAATCCAAAAGCATAAACTCCTGTTGGGCAAGACAACATTGTTTTAATTTTTGATATTACAGCACAATAAATTCATGCATCTTTTATTTATTTCTATGCTATTTGCATATTACAATTAAACTGACATGAAATATTAAGCTTTTGTCAAAATTTAGATTCACAAACCCTCAACATCACATGTTGTTGAAAATAAGGGAAGTGACTGCTTCTTGAGATTATGAAGCTTGGCTCATCTTTTCTGAGATGTCAGAGCTGGACATGATCTGAAACATTAGAAGCAAGTTCTAGCAGAGCACCACTTCAACACCTGGACTCCAGCTGGTGTATTTTGGAGTAAAGAAATGAGGGTGGGAAGGGAAATTATCCATTCGAAATTAACTCCAGCAGATATAAAACTGAACTTCAGCTTCAACCCTCACCCCTGAAAGGGGTAACAGTATTAGCCTATCTTACTTCGAATGCTCCGGGGCTGCACTCTGAGGAGTAACCTGTTTGGAAGCCACTCTCTTTGAGTCAGGTCGGGCTTTTTTCCACAGAGCTTGCTCTGTAAATTGTTAGAGCCACTGCACTGGGCTGCAGCTTATGGGGTCCAAGACAACACAGCTCAATTTATGAGCTTGGCTACGACTTACTGCCAGTGAACTATTCCATTCCCCAAACTACCACTCTCAAATGCTGTTATAAATTTTATTAAATGTTTAAATAACTTGAAGAATAAATGCCTGTTTTTATCCATGCCATCCCCCCTTTTTAAATTCTAATCCTATGAGCAGAGACTGCATTCTTTTAATCTTTGTACTGTATCTAGACATGCTTAGATCTTTCCTAAGTTAATATTTTTGTAGTAGTATATTAAAATTGCACCTCACTGCAGCTCTCTGCTTCGACTGTCAACTGCCAGGAAAGTGGCAACACTAGCACAGAACCTTTGGGGTACCTTTTGGTTTATATTGGAGGGCTACAGAGCTACGTGAAAAACCACTCGGATATTCAGGGGCTGATACGTAAGAAGGAAAGTGACTCAACCAACTGCATGTTTGCAGATTGAATTGGGGAAACATAAAACAATGAAGAAAGAACTGGAGAAAAGAGGCTACATTAAAAGAGGATGTAGTGCGATATTCTATACTGCTTGGCCATGACTGGAACTGACTGGCACTGCGAGAAACAATTGTAGTTTCAAAAATATCCAGACACAAATGGCAATGCTTGTTTCTGGAACAGGAGCTCAGAGAAGAGAATTTGGCTGACCTGCTCCATCCCAGAACAGAGCTCTGCCATTCCAGGTTCCTGCTTGAGCAAGAAAACTAGCAGAAGCATTCTACGATGTTGCTCTTGGTTTAAAAACCAATTGGTATAATCCAGATTCTTTGATGGGGTATTCTACTTCTTTATTTCAAGGCAATGGCACAACAGGTTTTATTGAGAACAGAAATATTAAGCTTCCAGGAATATTGGAATTTACTGCATTTCATCTACTGCTCTCCACGGTGGATTCCCGGGAGCGGCAGCTGCGGTCTGTCATACTTTCTCTTCGCATTCCCGTTTTCTGTTTGAGGAAGCATTCAGTTTGGGACTTGTCTCACTTCCATATAGCCTCAAGTGCCTGATCCTGCCCAATCTTGGAAGCTGAGGTGGTCAGCCCGGTCAATATTGGATGGGAGACTTGAGTATTGCACTGAATGGGGGGCTGGACTTGATGGTCTTTTAGATCCCTTCCAACGGTACGATTCTATGGTTCATTCAGAACTCACATAGTACAGCAAGAGTTTCACCACGACTAATCATAAGACACACATTTCTGCAAGTGCCAAGTTCCAAAAAACCCTTTAGGAGAACTCCTGTTTACATTGTCATCTTTAAAGTACCAGGATTAGTAAAATACATAACAGAACACTCACCATTTACAAAGCTGTTAATTAACCATGAATACCAGCTGATGGGGGAGAAAAAAAAGAATATTATTTTCATTCCTGGGCAACTTGAAAACCAAACAAGTAACGTTTAACAATGAAGGCTTTTCTTGCTTCCTTTTCCCACCCCTATCCGGTGGATTCTTCTGTGCTTCAAAACAAAAGGAATTCAGCACGCAAAAGTCACAGATGTACATGGGACACAGAATTTCGGATACACAGTGAGAAACATTTTAAGCTGACTTTCCCCACTACTCTGACCTTTATACTAAGAACACAACATCAACATGGTAGATCATGGTAAAGAAAAGGGTGGGAAGAGCCCTAACTGCACAGATTTGAATGGCTGGGGCCACATTCGTCTGAATTAAGAAAGGCAGAAGCATCTCAATCCTGAACAAGGCACTTTCTGTGCATCCAATTTGGAGAAATCCCCCTAAGACATTTCTATTTGTCAGATCTCCCTCCTCTTATACAAGCGCACTGTTCTTGAACCACCAGGTTCAGAACGCATTGCTTTCCCTCCATGTGCTTTCCCAGTAGCGAACACTTAATAAAACAGCACTGCAGCTTGGCAGCTTTTGCGGCAGTATGACAGGACCTGAAGGAAATTGTTCGACAGAGAGGCTGAAAAAGGAGCTTTGTTACAAAAAGGGTGTAAAGAGAAGACATTCAGGTATGAAAAGATGATGAGGCCACAGCTGTGAAGGAGCTGTATTAAAAGCAAAGTATGTATCTTGGTAATAAGCAATGCTACAGCTTTAGATGCTCTACTCTAGAAATATGGGGGAGCGTATGGGACATACGCTGGGTTGAGACACAACCGCCAAGCTACGGGGTGCGTCCGTCAGGAACATGCTGTGGGCCTCTACGACCCTTCCCCCCCGCCACGTGCCCTTTCTCTCCCCCAGTTCCTAGTAACCACAGTTGATCAAGATATCCAGACCAGGTAGACTGGGTTTCCTGCCAATGACCGTTTGCCTTCAGGCCGTCGTTAGAAGCCACACTTAGAAGCTGCTCGCTTGGTAGCACCTTCTGATCTGGGCCATTACGGCGTAACAGGATGGTGCCGCTACCTTTCAGAGTGGCCAAGCTCTTTGCAGAGTCTTTGCCACGTTTAAGAGAAATCACAAAACATTTTGCCCTGTGAATGAAAGCACCTTTACTGAACTGCCTTTTTTGACTTGCAGAATTACAAGGCAGTATCTCTGTGGTACGAACATTTAAAGATATACATTCTAGAGGTTTAAAAGAACCCACAGTGCCTTACCTTTTGTATCTGATATTCAGCAACGAGTAAATTGCACCTCCAATGCACAATGGATACAGCAAATATGACAGGTATTTCATGGCCTTCCAAAGAAAACAAAGATTTGTTCAACCATGCTCATATTTTCTTACTGCATTTTTATCCCACCTTTCCTCCAAGCGCAAGGTGGAGCTCATGGACTTCCTCCCCTTTATCCCATAAATACACCTGTCATAAAGGTTGGGCTGAGAGATTAGGTGCAGGGTTAGTCAGAAGCAGAACCTCGGAGGACCTTGTCGAAGATTAATGTCCAATCAACTACCTATGCTGGGAGGTAATTCTTTTCAAGAGCAAACTTTTATATTGTTATTTATTTTATATTGTGAATTTTATATTGTTATTTTTGTATTTTATTGTATTTTATTTTGTGTTGTGAGCTGCCCTGAGGCTTCGGCAAGGGGCGGCATAGAAATGCTTTAACAAATAAATAAATAAATAAAAAATAAATAAAATAAACTGGGAAAGAGTAGAGACTCTGCTAGAATGAGACTGGGACATCCAACACACTCAGTACAATAAAACAGAATTTTGTAACTCTCAGAAGAAAATGGAGAAGAGGCAGAATGCCACAACAAAACCCTCAGAGACAGCATCAAATCCCCAGAAGCAGCTCTGAATCATAACCATAAACCACCTGAATCCATAGAAACATAAGAGACAGAGCGAGTCAAGGTGCCTCCCGAGCCATCTAGTCTGACCCCCGGCTCCAACCAGCTCCACTCACAACATGCCCACCATGTGGACGTCCAGCCTATCCTTGAACACCCGCACCAATGGGGCCTCAACCACCTCCCGTGGAAGCCCATTCCACACCCTCGGGGTCCTGACTGTCAGGAAGTGCTTCCTGGCATCCAAATGGAACCTGGGCTCCCTGAGCTTGGCTCTGTTGGAGGGTGTCCAGGGTGCTGGAGCGCAACCAGAAACCAATTGAAAAGATGCGCGTATTTTCAGAAAGGGGCAGGGGTGGGGACTCTGTGTGTACTAACCTGGTTACATCCCTAACCTGGCGCCCTCCACACGTTGGTTTACAACCCCCAGCCAGCCTGAGCCGCCTGTTCCAGCGATCAGCTGTTACAAGCTGCATCACGTCTATTCTGGCCAGCGAAGCCAAAACCATTCTGGCCGGGGATCTTACTGCCTCCCTTTGGAAAGGGGTGACTGCCTCAAACTGCAATCGCCCAGCACGTCCCAAAGGAGTCATCACCCGTGTCTTCCCATCTGGGACAAGGCTGCGGACAGAGCAGACGCCTCGCAGCTTTGGGCCATTCATGCAACAACTGCTCCCTGGATCTGTGCCAGTGATAGGGAAATTGGAGCTTGCTGATCCACTGAAGCCTTTCAGGGACAGTCGCACAGTTTTTCAAGACCGACAGGTGTATTAAGACAGCGCTCAGCCACTTCCATCTAACCTCCATTCTAGAGTTTTTCTGGACCCTTCCCGAGAAGGCTCGCCTTTGCAGCTTCTCCTCAGCTGTTTATGTCAGGCTACCAAAGAGTTTAGGAAAAGACCTCGAGAACGACGCGATGACATGCCAACCACACACAGCATCATGGCCTGCTCCTGCTGACCTCTATCCGGCACGCTCCACTTTTACAAAGAGCTGGGCCACGGCCCGACCAGCTCTTTGCGATCGGAATCTGCAATACCAAATGCTTCCATTCCCCCCAATGGAGAGATTCACCAAACGGTACTTACCTGGGTATCGTATTCCTCCGTTTTCTTTTCAGACTCCGTAAATGCGCCAAACTGTATAAAATATAGGAGCAGAAGAAGTTGTGAGAACATACATACTGAAAGCATAAGAAGGGAATTCTGGCCATGAGAAATGCTTCATTTCAAAAGGAAAACAAAACATTGAGAGACCAAGATGTGGAGCCCAGAGCAGCCTGTAACAACACAGTCCCACTCAGAAGCGTTGGATGCAACCTCCTATCAACTCCAGCCAGCACGGCCAATGGGCAGGGATCCTGGGAACTGTAGTCCAAAATATCTGGAGTGGGAGCGCCTGGATCAACAGTCCTCAGCCGAGGTCCAGCCGGAATAGCAAAGCCACTCTGGAGAGAGTTCGAGGCTCAGAATACCCAGTCGCTGGCCCTCTGCCCTCCTTTCCCCCCCATGATGCCCCCTTTCCTTGATGGTCACTTCTCCGACCTTGCAGTGCAGCTGGCCTAGTTCATTCGGGGCCGGCAGTGAGGGCTTTGAGAAATGGGAGGAATGGATCTCCACCCACCACGCCTGAGGTTGGAGGATGCTCTTGGAGTTTGGATGTTTTTTTCCTGAGCCACCTGATATGTCTTTGGGATACTCCTTCTGGATTGCTTTCTCCGTCTCACTGGGAATACCAGAACTTACTTTCCTGTCTTTAGCCAAAGCGCTGAACTCACATAGGGTGTTTCCACAATTTTCTTAACTTCTACACAGGATGGATTTGATAGGCCAGCAGAGTTCTGAACGGGCATGTAGCTGCTTGGGATAAAGTCTGGAGGGTGTCTAAAACCCTGACCCCAACCCCCCATACCCATGTGTTGTGGGGCTAACGACCCACTTCTGAACTGCTTGCCTGTTTATATCTGCTTTCCAACAAACTAACCAACAAACAAAGGCCAGAAAACACCCCAAACAACTCTAGAAAACCCAACGTTGTTCGCTGTGATAATGAGCCCAGCACTCTGGGATGATGAGGCTAAACAACCCAGAACGTGGACCGAGGGCTTGCCAGTGGGTTCAACTCTGAGCACAGGCTTTGAATATCACAACTTGGTTGCTCCAGAAGAGAGGTGCAAGGGGGGAATGGGGGGGCGTTTGGGAGGCAGCCTGCCCCCTCCCATCTGCTCCATCAGTTCATCTGACAGGACAACCTGGGAACCAGACGGATTCCTGGAGGGCGAGTTTGTTTATTCATTGGATTTCTAACCTATCCCATTAGCCACACGGCTCCCTGGGAGGGTTGTTTGAAGGCAAAGCTCTACATTAAGTACATGGACTTTACACCCCCACGTAATTTCCTGCCGGAAAGCACTGCAACCCTTCTAAATCCCAGCTGAAAGACAGAGTGGGACAGCTTGTGCTTTTGCATGTTCCTGAGGTGGCAGAATTTCGGGAGGGTGCCAGCAGACCATGGTAAGCGCGATTGTCCGTCAGGCCCCCGGGGGCGGCACACACATTAACCGACCTACCATGGCTTACCACGGGGGGGGGGGGGGCTGCCCATTGCATATGAAGCGGCTCAGCGGATTCGAAAGGCAAGCCACAGCGGCACGCGTGACAATTATGGCTCTTCTGAAGGGAAAAGGGGGTTTGAATGGAGAGCCGCACACGTGAAAACCTCTTTAAAGAACCCGTACGATACCTTAATTGTGGGCATCAGGCCACTCCATTCAATTGTCATTTTCAATGCTTTCTTCACTTTCCAAAGCTGGAAGGTAAAATATTATCTTAAAATCACTACTATCTTGATGTAGGACAAGTTCACCATCCTGAGCAATTTTATTTTATTTTTCAGCATTTTATAGTTTGGAGAGTAACTGTCAAAAGTCAGGCGGTGGGCTGCAGCCACCTGCAGATCGCATTCCACGTACAAATCCCTGCCTTCTGACGAAGAGGCACTTCAATTACGAGGCCGACTCACGTCTGGGAGATTGTGGATCATTGTGACCATGGACCAGTGGCGGCAGAGGTGTGTGCTTGTGTTTCGGGAGCAGCATATTGTACAGTATGTGGGGACCTTTGCTGCAGCCCATCTCTAGCCCGTGGTCTCAGCCGGCACAGAGAAGGAACTATGCTGCACAGGTTCAACTGCTAGGAACATTTCATAGGTCTTTAAAAAAAATTATACTATGTTTAACTTAAAGATGGATCTGCTTCTGCACATGTGGGGGACCCTAATATTTAGAAACTGCTGCTTTGTGCTTGGGTGGTCCCCTTTTTAAGTGACAATAATAGGAACCAAATCACCCAGGTTTAGTAAGGCGAGGAACCATGATGATGGCATGGATTCTTTTTTTCTGATTTAGACTTAAATAATACACACTCCAATCTTAACACTTCAGGTGGTGTTTCACAGGAAAGCTTCATACCTATTTTCCCTGTTGACTCCTCAAACACAGGAGCTCTACTTGTGTTAGCAGCGTGATGTTTACAATGCACACTACTATAACCACAATTACTTCTATAAGCCCAGAATGTTGCTACCAAAAACGTGGGGTTACAGAGCAGGGAGTTCTCTGGTTTATCTGAATAAGCCAATCCCTTGAGGATCATCAGCACTACATTGAAGGCTGTGGTTCAATTGCAACTCAGAGCAAAATAAACAATAAGCAGAGAAGTGGCTGAAGAATATTGGAAAAGATCATTTCAAAAAAGATCATGTTTCTAGCCCTCAAGGGTGTGAAGATCTGCCTGAAAGTGTGTAGGCCGTGACTGTTGAATGATCTAGACATCACGGCATGGGAACCTTAGTGCCATTGCAGAGTTCTCCCTTTTGCTCTGTGCCTAGTAAATAATACATTTATTGCTCAATAAAAAGATCGCTGAAAAAGTATGACTAGAATAGACAGAATTAAAAGTTAAATTATGCAAGCTAAGCAAGTATTTGACAGTGGTAAATTGTGCTTTTCATTGGGGAGAATTTCATTTTGTCAGGGCAGAAAGCATACGGCATGGATTATACGACACGAATTTCAAGCAGCTGGAAGAGTTGCAAGCTAAATTAAAATTAAGTACAGTTAAAATTTCAGGAAATGTGTCACTGGTGAGGCAAGTTAGCTATTCAGCTAGCTTCCATGAGCATTATTTCAACATACCAAGTGGTTAAGGAGACAAATTTCTTGGCATTAAGCTGGTTTTGACCTATTAGAGAGATCTAATATTAGAAAGACCTGGAAGAAGCGTGCAAAGGAGTCTCTTTTGCACGCCGCTCCGAGAACTGGGCTGCTTGTGTTTGCGCAGAACACCTGCAAGTTGTGCAGCTACTCACCTCAATCACTGCCCCAACACCTGCCGGAATCAGCACTAGCAAGCTTGTTTGCTCATCCAAAAGGAACAGAAATATGATCACGGTGCTAAAGCATCGCCAAAGCACTGCACAAGAAGAATTCACGTTAGTACGGTGCGGGGCTGGAGAGAGAATATTTTCACATTCTGCAGAACGCTGTGTGTAACTGTACTTAAGAATGGCATTCATCTGCTTTACAGTTGGTGTTCTACAGGTCCGAGAACTACATTCTGCCCCTGGAGGTACCGAATTCCCCCTGGGTTGGAGGAAAAAATACACAGCCCCTGTGACATCACGTGATGGCTGGTGCACATGGAATGAACCACTGCCGAAATCAAAACCCGAACGCTGATGCCTCGTTCAACCCCAATGCATTCCACAGACTGCACACATACAGTAGGGAAGTCATCCAGGCTGAGAAACTCTGCACGTGAATTTGTGAGCAGACCCCCTTAGCTGAGAGTTTTAACTGCGAAGTTATTTGCAATGTGTGACTGTCATTCTTACGGATGGCCTATTTTAGTAGCGATGGACTTCCTTTATAAATCTCCTGGCTGCAATTTTGTACTGGAAGACTGCTTGGACACTGACAAATAAAGATGGCCCAGACAGCTCTGGCTATTGGGCAGTAGTGAAATATAACCGCAGTAATTTAATTGATTAATTAATTAATAAAAGTACCCACCTGCTTTTGTGGACATGCCAATCATGCTTTTCTTTTTCTTCCAGAAGCTGATGTCATTTTTGAATGCAAGGAAGTCAAAGAGAAGCTGGAAATACCAAACAATATTAACTTAGAGATGCCATCCAAGGGAACTGAATTAGAGTTCTACAGCTAATACAGCATTGTAGGTTAAATTTACTTTAGCTACTAGTTCACAACATTTTTAACTAAGCACCTGACCAGATAAAACTATCTCTGTGGCATTTCAGCAGCCTTAAAGAACTAGCTCTTTCTGTTTATGAATGTTATTCTGCCACGCTGCCAATTCTTCTTTGCCACGAGCTATCAGTTGTGTTGCTGTTTTCAAGCCTCATTTAGCACAATGTATATCTGTTATTAAAGGCCATTTAATAAACACACAGAGGCAGAGTTACAGATTCAGGGACTCTTGGCCATTTTCTTTAAAAACTAGAAATTAGTCTTTGTTTGCTGGGCATTTTTGACATTGAGTATCATTTGCATTAAGCTCCCTTGAAAGCTGCCTATCAGCAAATCTGAAAGATGAGTATTGTGGGATATTTAGCATGTAATTCATACATGAAGCCGAAATATTTAAATCTCAGAATAGCATGATGCATATCGCTGCAGCGGAGCTAAATCGCATTGTCAGGATCAGAAATTTCTACAGAAATAGTCAAGAGAAAATGTTGAAGGAAACCCAGTATTACATGTACCATTCTGTTTTATCACCTCCTTTTGCAAACACCACGATCTGGTTCGAACCATCAACACCACAATTCAAGAGAATTACTCAGGGCGCATCCTTTAATCATCTTTGCTTCCATTTTCGACTGACCCTTAGACTGTTAAGTTTTCTGAACTCGCTGAAGTTAAACTACAAGCCCCAAGTCATGCATGATGGGAAACCAGTTTAATTGAGAATCAAAGTGGAATCATTCATTCTCCTGTCTGTTCACACGCTTAAATCCAAGCTTCACTGCAAACTGTTCGACTAAGCCTTTGCCTGCATTGGTATCTGAAACCGCCCTGTATTTCCAACACCTACCTGACCGTGTCCCATCTACTTCTCTGCTGGTGACTCTTAATTAACACAAAAGTGTGAAGTCTTCATTTACAAAACATTTGATCTTTTTGAAAATGAAGACTCATTAAAATGTGAAGCATCACTCTGGAAGCAAATGTTATATTTTTTAAATTTATTTTCTACTGCTGACAGCTAGGTTTAAGCAAAAGATGATGAAAATAAGTATTTATTAAAACACCTAAACCCTGCTGTGCTGGAGGTTTTTACTACCCCCATATATCTTACACCTGTTCAATACTGGCTAAAGGCTTTTAGTTGGATGCTTGGCCGATAACTGGCTCAGTGATCGGTGTGTTGGACTAGGTCTAAAGAGATTTCAGTTCTGGTCTCTACTTGGCCAGGAAGCGCATCGGGTGATCTTGGGCCAGTCCTGGCTTTCAGAGTAAGGGTTGGTTGTGAGGATAAAATGCAGAGGAGGAGGAGGGATTATGGAAGCAGGCTTGGGTTCCTTGCAGGAGAACGGATAGGATATTCTGTATTTTTCGCTCTGTAAGACACACCTGACCATAAGACGCACCTAGTTTTTAGAGGAGGGATCCATGGAAAGCTTCCTGAGAATCACAGGCACATTCCCCATCACTTCCCCATGGGCTCCATTAAAAGATGGGTTGCCATTTGAAAACACACACCGACCTGTGATTAACAGCTCTCACCTTCACTTCCCCGCCCATTCGGTCTCTCACCACCGTCATTCTCTCCCATGTTTTCCCTGTTCGTTGGAGAACCCCTTATCTGGACCAATGCCCTTCCAAGCCCCCTGCCCTCATTTCCTGCTCCCCAGGACGGCTGCTTTCTCACAGCCTTGGCCGGTGCGTTTTCTCTCTTCCCTTGCTGGAGTCCTGCTTCCCGGCTTGCCTTTTTTAGGGTCTGCTTACTTCAGCCAATGGCAGCCTGAGCATCCTACAATTAGAGCCGCTGAATGAATGGGAAACCCTTCCTCCTCCTCGAGCTGGATTTTTCAAGCTGCTTTTCTACAGCCATGCGACTGAATTAAAGTTGAGGCTCCAAACAGGGCCCAGGTACACGCGGACCAAGCTGGCCCTTCCTCTTTAGCTACATTTGCCTCGTGCCCTTCCCTCCGAGAAGCAAAGTGTTCTGGCTTTGCAACTGATTGGTGAAACAAATTAGGAGGAGGAATAATTACTTGCACAAGACTGAGGTTCACGATTACGTATTTCAGCTGGGGTCTCCCACATCCAAATCCAGCACTCCAGCCACATGTTCGGCACCAGCACTTCTTAAAACAAGAGTTCAGAGTGGTTCATACTTTCCTCACGTGGTACCCTCCAGTTGTCTTAGTTGTGAGTCCCTGCAGCCCAACCAGCATGGATGCTGGTGAAGAACACTGGACACTGTAGTCTAAAAGATCTGGAGGGAACCAGGCTAGGGAAGGTCGGAGCAATTCAGCACAATTATGTATTATTAAATACTCATTAGCAGTAATTAGCAATGCCCAATCACACTTACATGGAATGCTGCTACAAAGAATGTCAAAGCAAGAAAATAGAGGTTTGTGTCCACAAAAATTCCCTTCACTTCATCAGCATCTTTTTCTGAAAAACCTAGAAAAAATGAAGAGACAATATATGGCTTTTCGGAGAGCTCAAGCAGAAGTTCTGAGCAGTTCTTAATTCACTGAGATTTGGGGTGATCAAAATGTTCTTTTTCTTTGAGCAAATGGTGCTACCCAAGTTGCACAATACAGCAATGGAACCGACACAAAGGGCCATCGTATATGAATGGTTAAACAGGTAATATATGCATTATAATTCTTACATGGTGTGCTAAAACGCTGCACCAAGTCATGCAACCACGCACACTAGGTGGAATCCTCCTCCTATGGAAGAAAACGGGGAGATCACACCGTCACCCATTGGGGTGTGACCTGATCACACAAGATATGATCTCAGCAAGGACCTTGTCAATATGACAATATTTCTAGCACGCAATGTGACACTTCAGCCTGCGTGCTGAGTGCACTAGGGCTGAATGTCTTCCAACTGAAATCACTTTGCAGGAAAAACAGAACTGGCATTCGAGGGCCGGGCAAATCTTCAGGTGTTTTTCTCAACGTGTTGCTTTCCTCAAGAAGTTTTTCACTTGGAGAAACATTCAGCCATCTCACCTTCCCCACAGTTTGATCATTAATTTTGCTGCTTGGATTAGCAAAACGCCACACGAAATCAGGAGCTCTGAGGTCCCTCGACTCGAAAATGGTGTCTTTAATCTCAAATGGTTAAAAAACTAAACACCCAAAATAAGATCTGTTGACAGAACCAGTCTGTGACTGCCAATATGACTCTTGCAGATGTTTTATTGTTTTATTTATTTAAAACTTTTTATGTCATCGCATGTGTCTTGGCATCTCAGGACGGCTCACAATTCATAAAGTTACGATACAAAAAAATCACATATATATAAATAACATCATTCAATTAAAAATTCACATAAAAGACTAAATCAAAGCAACTGTTCAAAACGATTAAAATACCAATTTTTAAAATGGCAATTAAAAAAGTTTTGACCTGGCACCAAAAAGGATATAAACTTGGCGCCAGGTGCACCTCTCCAGGGAGCACATTCCACAATCTGGGTGCCACTGCAGAGAAGGCCCTGCTCCAGGTAGATGTTCTTTTTACCTCTTTCAGGGAGGGTTCCCGGAGCAGAGCCTCTGCCATGGATCTTAAGGGGCGTGAGGGCATGTAAGGGAAGAGGCGCTCCTTCAGGTATCCTGGTCCCAAGCCGCTTAGGTTTTATAGGTCAAAACCAGGACCTTGAATTGGGCTCGGATGTCAACCGGAAGCCAGTGGAGCTGGTCGAGGACCGGCGATATGTGAGAATAACACAGGCAGCATGTTTCCAAGCAGCCTCGCTTTGTGGAGGCCTGTATTGCAGCCCGGTCAATCCAACAGAAATGAGCTTACCGAACTGCTGCAGCGAATACACGGCATCCTGCATGTGGATCCAAAACCGGAGCTTTCCCAGGGATATTTTATCGTACGATACTGTCAGTGGAAGTTCGGTTGTCGAGCGGTTTATTATCTGTGTTGTTTTAGAAAAATCCACAAGAAAATTAATGCCGACATCCATTACCGGGTTCATCTTTACTTGTTCCCAAACTACATGTAAAGGCGGCTGCATCATGTAAGGGACTATATGAGTTAAACAAATGATTAAAAAAAAGAAACCCTACTGGAATAGTAACACATATAAAATATATATGAATAAGACAAAGTTATTATTATTAATGGAGTGGTTTAATGCAAAAAGTCCATTAAGACATAATAAGGTAAATAAACATTCATCATGGAACAGGTGGTTAATATGAAGTATTTTAAACTGCACGATCCTATGCTTACTTATGTGTAAGTGGACATAGGATTGCACTCTAATTGTGTACTCCTAATGGTAGTACACATCTTTGTATTTCATCAATATTAGAGTTGACAAACATGATTAAGGAACTAAGAATATATTCTGCAAACCAACCAGGAGATAAGCAATAACATTTCAAAAGATCAGTATCATATCTTATAACATCAGTATCTCCTGAACCATTTTTTAAAAATCCCACCTATTCCAATTGACTGGACTCCTATGCTGGCAGATTGTATTTAATCTTTATCCAAGAAGATAGAAAATAAATATAAACTGCCACCCATTGTATATTATATAACACCTGTCATAATGAAAAATATTGACATCCCCATTGGGAAATGTGACGTTTTTACTATTCAGCTTCCAGGGGCCTTTGAATGCATGGCACACTTGCATTTAACAAGTCCTGAGATGCTCCATCCACGCTAGATGCATGGTCAAAAGGGTTCAGTGGAACCCTTTAATCCCCCTTCCCTGCCAGGCCTCAGCCAGGGGACGTGGGGCCCAGCCACCGCTCAAAACAGATACACGCAGCCTCCTGAGCCCGGAAGGCCCCACATTTTGCTGGCATGAAGGTTACATGCCCGCATGCCCACTTTTCCCCAGCTAACTGCTCTTTCCCTGCTGCTGCAAGCATTGTAGAAAGAGCGATCGGTTGTCTGGATTACTGGGGGTTTAATTTCAGTTGTGGAGCACGGAACTCCCCTTTCTTTTCTCCACCCCCCTCAACTGCCACGCTGTGCTTTTAAAGGGCTCCTCCATTTCTGATGTCTTAGAAGAACAGTCATAAAACTGTTTGCCATCCCTGATTTAAAAACCAGCCAGACACAGAACCTCCTCTGAGCCAGCCATTTTTCATTCTAAATGCACATAAATCGTAACGTCATCCTGACTATGGGAGCAGATCGTGTGTTTCTGCCACTCTTAATCACGTGCTGCTTTCTCTGCAATAATCTGGGGGGCCTCTAGGCTGTGGAGGCCTGACCCTGGCCCCGAGTTGCAGCTCTGGCTGCACCACAGCTGACCAGCAAAGTACAAGCAGCCGGGACGAGGGGCGTTAGGAAGCAGCAGGGCTGTTGCACGAGTTGGTCACAGAGATGCACAGTGCAGCCATGGGAAGGGAGAGAAAAATACAGGCTCTGTTCAGCCTGACAACGTTCCCCATTCAACTGCACGCCAAGACAGGGATGGAGTGTTTATTCTGGGGGTGCTTTTTCAAGGTAAACTGCTGTAGCAGAACTACAGGACACCCACTGTGACAAGCAAGCCTCATGACACCAACGTTACGACATCTCGCATTTTTGCTGTTAGTGGCGAAGTCATGTCCGACCCATCGCAACCCCATGGACAACTTTTCTCCAGGCCTTCCTGTCCTCCACCATCCCCCGGAGTCCACTTAAACTCACGCTGACTGCTTCAGGGACTCCATCCAGCCACCTCATCCTCTGCCATCCCCTTCTTCTTTTGCCATCTATTGTTCCGAGCATTAGGCTCTTCTCCAGGGAGTCCTTCCTTCTCATTAGGTGGCCAAGTATTTGAGTTTCATCTTCAGTATTTGGCCTTCTAAAGAGCGGTCAGGGTTGAGCTCCTCTAGGACTGACTGGTTTGATCGCCTTGCGGTCCAAGGGACTCGCAGGAGTCTCCTCCAGCACCACAATTCAAAGGCCTCAATCCTTTGGCGCTCAGCCTTCCTTATGGTCCAGCTTTCACAGCCATATATTGCAACTGGGAAAACCATAGCCTTGACTATACGCACTTTTGTTGGCAGGGTGATGTCTCTGCTTTTTAGTATGCTGTCTAGATTTGCCATAGCTTTCCTCCCAAGGAGCAAGCGTCTTTTAATTTCTTGGCTGCAGTCCCCGGCTGCGGTCATCTTGGAGCCCAGGAAAATAAAATCTGTCATTACTTACCATTAAATCTTTTACTCTGTTGCTCAGCTGGTCAATGAATAATATTGGAAGATAATGCACTGTCTTGCCCAACTGGACCCTACATTTCGAAAAGGATGCTATTGTAAACACATCAGCTTTGAAACAAATCATTTCCACTCTAACACAATAAACTTATCTTCTTATCATGCACAGCTGTTGATACAAAGCAAACATCATGGCATGGGCTAAATATTTCTCCAAGCCATCTATGAGGCGGTTGTTTTAGGCTGAAGAAAGACGTGCCATGGCTTTTTGATACCAGGGCACGTGTTCTGCTCCAGATCAGTGTTTAGGGGGTTTGCCTGGCTCCTCTACTTAGATTAGTCTCTCTTCCAAGTGTCAGACAAACGAATCTCTCTACTCTCTGAGCAAAACATGGCCGCCCCGCCAATCGGCAGCCTTTGCTTGTGACCCGCCGTCAGACTGTCAACTCCAGAGGCAAGAACGGCGATCAGCGAGCGATGGGGCTTGACATCAAGCTGCTCCAGTGTGGGATGTTGCTGTTTCATTTTAATTTCTTTGCTAAAGTGTCCCTCTTGCAGGCACGGTGCAGGGTCTGCAGAGCGGAGTAGTGAGTGAACTCACACAAGGTGCATCAATTGATACGATCACTATTGCATTGATTACTTTTTTCTCCTCCCTTCCATCAAGCAATGCAAATCAGCATGAAAAGTGCCTTTAAAAATCCCCAACAGGTTAAATTAGACTGACATACGGAAATATAGCCAAGGGCACCAAACTCACTCCACGGACAAACAATGATTACTATGCAAATGGCACAGGGCCAAAATGGCGTAGTCCACGTCAGTGGAACTTGTCAACGATGCCTGCAAAGTGGGCATTATGTCTTACAGAACATGGCAATGTAATGGATTACATCACTGATGAAAAGGACATCATAGCCAAAAATTACGATACAGGCTAATGTATAGAACATGAGTTGTATAAGATTACACTGTCATGCTCTATCAGTAATATTCCCTTAACATTTGGGGTTTCGTTGCCTCCGTCTATAGTTTTCTGAGCAAGTATCTTGCTGGTTGAAGCCCAATAATCCATCGAACACTCTGTAGAATCACACCACCTTTCTAGAGGAGCAATGAAATGCTAGGCTCTTGGTAGTACAGCTGGTTTCAAAGCCCCAATCTATTCTAAGAGGTTTCCCCGGGTCATTTACTTAAAAAGAAATCTATTAAAATTGAGGTGCTGCCACTCTGGCAGCATTCAACTAATTGTGTCTTAGTTCGGACAGCTAATGTGGGTATTAGCTGTAGGCCGAGGTGGGCAGCTTCGGACAGTCTGGAGCTCAGCTTTCAGCAACTTGTCTCTCCTGTGACCCACAATCTTGCTCTCAGGATTGAGACAGTCACTGCTATTTGGCAGCAAAACCCTACAGAGATGCAAAGGGCCACGTTTCGCTTGGAAGCAAGCTAACTGAAGCACTTTCGCACCTTTGCAGTTGTTTGCCACTGGATTTGGATGCCAAGCTACGGATTTCTTTTGCTCCCATCACTTATGCTCAACAGCACAGGGTGCAAGGGCATATGTGGCTCCCAGTCTAAGTGTTGTCCACCCCTGCCAGCCTTGTTGGCCGTGATATTAAAGGCCTGCTCGTTCCCAAGCGTTCAAGTATTGTTTGTGAGCTGTAGGGCTTACAGCGAAAAGTATCAATATTAACTTACATTTTCATGTATCTGTGTACATCGGCTGGGAGAGAGGATCCATCGAAGACAAAGTCTTCCACCATAACATTTAAAGTCAACCTGGATCTCCAATGCGAGACAGGTTCATCCAGGGCATACGTTTGCTTTTTCTCTGCTTCGATTTGCTTTTCAATAAAAAAAAAAGGAGAAAAGAGTAAAAATGCAAGCTTGAATTCCGCTTCAACGCACTGGGTTTATGGTTGCTGAAGCAGCAATGTTACAATTTGCTCGTGATTGTTTACAGCCCCTAATTGCCCGTGCTCTCATTTTTATTGTGCAACCATTACAATCTAATCTGAAAAAGAAAACGCCCATCATGATTTCAGGAGAGTGACATGGCTGAGGGAAGGCTTCTAAACTGTGAAGAGGGTAAATGAAGAGCCAGTCGCTCTGCAAAGTTGCACAGAGATGCAAACAGCAGTTCAGGGATGTGACACTGCTTCACATTTGTATGACGAACCTGAGATAACATTTCCAGGTTCTGTGCAGAAGATATTTACCTGCTTTGCACTGACTTTGTTTGTGGCCCGGAAAGAAGAGCACTGAATGGCAGATAACTGGCAGGGTGGACGTGTTTGTGCTCAAACCATGTTTACCAGAAGATGATATAAAACCAGGTAAATGGACAACTAGCGGGGGTTGAGGGAAGCCCTCACGAGAGCAACACTGTTTTTACAAGCAGCATTGTTAACTGGGAAAACCGCAAAACAGAAATCCAATGACGAGAAAACAATCTCACCTGGGTAATAGATTCTCCTGTGAGAAGATTAATTTCTTCTGGTTTAGGTATCATGTATGTGGTGAGAGGGCTAACAATATGTACTTGTTTTCCATCGTGCCAAGGCAGAATTCCAGCATGATGCAGAAAGATGTAGGCATATAATGTCCCATTATTCCGTGTTTTCTTTGGTACAGATACATTAACTGTTCTAAAAAATAAAAACATATTAAATGAATAATGTCTACACCTCATTTTAGCCAAGCAAAGCAGTCATATAAGCTTTATTTCAGGCTGGAATATGAAATAATTTTCTCCAGGAATTGTTTTATTTATTTATTTTTTAAAGCTTTTCTATCCTGTCCCCTACAAATGTCTCAGGATGGCTTACAATAAATAAACTAAATGAGCAACTTTTAAAATGAACGCTGAAATGAACACTTTAGATGGCAGGAATAACAAATGTGGAATTCTTGCTTGTCTCCTGGGCTTTAGTCTGACTGGTTCCAAGGTGAAGGATTTGTTGGTTTTATTCTAATTTCATAAGTGCAGGCACTGTTAACTGCCACTTCTGACAAAGGCATAATCTGCTTTGAAAAGATCATTCATAAAGAAGATGGAATTTCAGCCACTAGGACTCCCTCCTTGCCAGCCAAAGCTCTGCTCCGGGAAGACAGTGTCCAGGGAGGACCACTTTCCATGGAAGGCAAGGAGAGGTGGTCCCCCGTGTGGTGTAGTGGTTAAGAGCATGGGACTGGGACTCAGGCAATCTGGGTTCGAGTCCCTGCTCAGCCATGGAGCCAACTGGGTGACCTTGGGCCAGTCACAGACTCTCAGCCCAACCTACCTCACAGGGTTGTTGTTGTGGGGATAAGATGGAGGAGGAGAATGATGTAAGCTGCCTTGGGCCCTTTGTAGGAAAAAGGCAGGATATAAATAAAAAAAAATCAAATCATACTTCCCCATGCCCTGCTGTTGCTGCTGCCTCTTGCAAAAGACCGACGGCAAAGGAAAGAAAACGCTGTATGTACGCAATGTATGTAAATTGGGTGGGGTGGAGAAGAAAGGAGACGTTATGGCCTTCTCTTTCTGTCGGGCTTGGGCAGGAAAAGAATCAAGGGCTCCAGTGGGGTGGGAGAGACACCCCTTCCACTTTCTCCTTCACCCCACACCCACCATGGCTTGTTCAGCAAGCCAGTAGTAGTTTATTTCCCTTCCTCCTGGAATGCTGCAGGCGGTGGCAAAAGCAGGATGCGGCTTAAATCATCTGTAAGAGAAACCCCTTCACTTCCCCAAGTTCTTGGCATGTTGGGGGCAGGTTTTATTAGTGACTGATCCTGCTAGCAAGTCCAGCCAAAGTTTCCTTTGCACCATGCACAAAGGTAACACAGAAAACTAAAATGGTTGGACTTTGAAAAGCAGTCTAAGCACATGTATCTGGAAGCAAATCCCAATAAATCCGACTTCCTTCCCAGTAAAAGTACTTAAAATTAGGGTTTAAGTCAGACTATTTTTCCGTTTTGTAAGCAACTTTACACTTATGGGTAGATGGAAGCACAAGAAAGTTTTATATATAAAAGAATAAAATATTATGGTCTGAAGGTTTTCATGACAATTATAAACAAGATAAAGTTTCTCAAAGTTAGGGTGCAATACCAGGGATGTTCAGAGAGGTATAAATCCTACAACTTCCAGAGTTGCCCATGCTGCCTGGGAAGAGTTCTAGGGCTTTTTTCTGTCTAAAAATGCACAGGAACGTGCTCTTAATCATTTTTAAGACCCAGTCATTTCACTACGAAAGATTTAAGCACATGGTTCAGTTGGCCACAAGAATAAGGAGCTTACTTAAAAGATGAGACTTAGGCTTGATGGACATAAAGATTGTTTGGTATAAACTAAAGAAATAAATAATACCTTACCTTTCAAATTTGGACTCGACATCAAAATTTTCCACATTCAAAACCAGATCAATATTATTCTCTGTACCTATGTTTGACCGTGTGGTGGTGTAAACACTCAGCTGAAACAAAAAGGAAGTATTAATGCTTGCGCAGAGATTTGTGGCTGCCACGTCACCTTGGTGGGTACTGAAAAGAAGCCTGCGGCTTCGAGGGCACTGACTCCCTTTACCTTGGATGACAGGTCACCTACCCACCCGCTCTGGTCAAACTCAAAACAGGAGATAAGAAAGGCTAATTATCTCCTCTATTTTCAGTAAAGCCATCTATCTGCTCAGCATGTGCCCCATCAAGATGACTGGAACCCAGTCTCTGGGACTAGTTTGACTTTCTCTTTGCTTGCTGCCTGCGGCATTACAGACAGAGAGGCTGATGACCAAGTGTTCCTCTACGTGTACTTTGCTCTGCTGCCGAATATGAAAAATCCCTCCACCTAAATATTAAACTGCAGTGAAACAATTTAAAACACAGTTTAAAAACAAAACAGTTGCAACAGTAGCGAGGATGATCTGCACAGAAGCAGTAAAATATAAGAGCATTTTTAATTTAATTGTGAGCATATTAATTTAATTATGGAGGAACAGGTGTGTTTTCAGGAAGGTAACAAATTTTCTGCTCCCTGGCTGAATTTCCTCACAGGGCCAATGTCACTATATAGAAGCCTGACCATCAATGTATTAATTGGCAACATAGTCAATTCTCCCACCTCTTAATGAGGGACTGGTAACTATATTTTGATCACTCACACAAACTTCATAATACCCTTTAAACCTTATAACCTTGAATATGCAAATACTGCAAGCACCCAGAGAATTCTATCCATTTTAAAAAAAATGAAAAATAAAGTTTCTGAACCCAGCCATTAATGGCAACAGAATGGAATGCCAGTTGCCAATTATGCAATAATAATAGCTAACATTTATATAATACTTTAGAAATCATTTGTTTTACACATGAGCATTTCTATGTACATAAATCTATGTATTTATATATCCAGTGAAATTACCAAATAGTGAACAATAAAAGGAAAAGGATCAAAACAGGGAATTAAAATCTCTAAAATCAAGTTACTGCATGAACCGTGGCTGGTCAGCCACAGGAGGCCTGTTTAGACAAAAACGACCTCAGCAAGCAGGGAAAATGAGAAGTCGCAGAGCGTCTACATGCAGGGAGTTAGTTGCAAAGCGCTCCCATTCAGTGAGCGGGACCCCGAGCAGCAGCGCCGCCCGAGGAAGCCCCCCTTCCCTCCATTCACGGAAGCCACCGGATCAGATGGCGGAGGGGCCCACGGATCCCCTCTGGGGCCGGTTTCCGCGAGGCACCGAGGCCCGTGGGCCAAGGAGCAAGTGCACAGCCGCTCACCGCAGCAAGGGCTGCATGCATGCTCTCCGTGACCTGGGACTTTGCTCGGCGGAATTTATGGGGTGTGACAGCTGCAGAGGGGTTGCAGGGCGGCGGGCTGCAAGTCAAGGGGCCCCACTTGCGGACCCCCGCTTTGCAACCCCCTGCAGCCTCCCCCCCCCCGCCACTGGCAGCCCGGCGGTGGCGGAGGGCCCCTTCCGCCAGGCACGGGCCACCTGCCAGCAAGAAGCCCGCAGGTTCTCGGGGGGGGGGGGCGCCCAGCCCCTTCCAAGGGCCGCGCACACAGCCAGGTGCACGCACTGCACGGGGGCTTCCCGGGCAGGCCCCCCCCCCGCCTCCAGGCAGGGTTGCAAAGGCGGATCCAGGGCCGGGGGGACTGCAGGACGCCCCCTCCTCACGCACGCCCAGCGGGAAGGCTCAGCCCCGAGGGGCACTGCAGGGCCTGCCGGCGGGGTCCCGCTGCCCGCCCCCCGGGGAGGCGGGGGCAAGCACGTGTCCGCCCGTGCACACGTAGCACCGCGGGCCGGCCCCGCAGCGGGCACGCGCCTCACCTGCAGCTTGGGCCGCCGCGCCAGGTAGGGCCGGATGCAGCCGTCGTTGCCGCCGCCGCCGCCGCCGGTGTCGCGCGCGGCCGCCAGGCAGGGCCGGGTGTGGACGATGCCGTACATCACCCAGCAGGTGTGCGCCACGTAGACGGCGAAGAGCCCCACCGCCAGCCCCGTCAGCGAGCTGCGCCTCGGCAGCATCGCCCCCGCGCGCCGGCACGCCGGCCGC